GGCGTGGTTGAGAGATGGTTCCTACTGTAGATATTACGGAGAGTTCAGTCATCGGCATCTGGAGGAGGACAGAGCAGAGCACCAAAGCAGCAGATTGAACATGGCCAGCAGAATAGAGGAGAGGTGCGGAAGAGACGAGAGAAAAGCAAGAGATGGGACCAGGAGCCAAGAGCAGGAGATCAAGAGGAATCAAGAGAAGAACCAAGACAGCATGTGGCCAAGATGACAGGTTTTCTTAGGAAGCTGGGGTGAGAAGAGCAGAGAGGAGCCTGGTGACCAGCACGCACTTTGTGTGTTAACAGACACCACAATCAGCCACTTTCCTGGGTTTCTCTGGGACCTAACTGAAACAAAGCATCCTGCTGTTACTTGGCCATGGGGATCATGACATATATGCCCAAACTGAGAGAGGGTTGCGGATGTCATCTGGGACACTATTCCAGGAACATGAGTCCCCACAGGGTCCTACCTTTTATCAGAGACTCCGGAGCCGACTTGAATACCAGATAAGGAATGCAGACGGAGCACCTTCTGTCTGCACAGAAGGCATGGTTTGCTGTGTGCAGCCGGCATGCACTGAGCACTGACTGCTGCAGCTGGCTGTATCATGTGGCCAACGGGTCACAGGTCCTTTCTAAGAAAACCCAGAACCTGAAAAGGGACACAAACATCCCTGCTGCCTTCTTCTTACACCCTAGACCGAGGTTCTCGTGGTGTGGCTTGACGTGGCATGGCATGGCACGTGAGTTCTCCAGCCTAGCCCTCTCTCCCTCCTGACAACGGGAAAGAGTGACTCCCACGGGGGCCCTCTGCTTAGCAGAGCCAGTACCATGTGTATCAGTCTCTATCCCTCCCACACCACCATCAGGATAGAAGAGTGCCAGGATACAGGCCAGGGCTGCACACAGAGCGGCCCTGAACCTGAGTCCTACAATCTGCAGCCCTGAGGGCGGGCGCTTATAGCAGCCCATTGTAAAGTGGATGCCAGGTGGCAGCTCACAGACCACCCTGTAAACACCGCAATCATCGCTATGCGGCCGTCACCACCCCACAACTCCAGCAGCTTGAAACCCAAAGTCAGCTGAGATGGCTGAGACCCCTCCTACCCAGAGCATGGAGGGAAGTGGGGGATCACCATCCAGGGAGCCACTGTCTCAGACAACCTGCAATTACCACCAAATATGATTGTGTTCATTACCACTGCAGTGTAGCGCACTGAGCTGGGAGCCCAAGGTTACTCTAGACCACACACAGGCTTTCCAAACCAATCACAGGCTCAGCTGGAACCCCACACAGTCAAATGGAAAAACAGAGGCTTAAGCTGGAGCACAGAGATGAAGGGAGACCCCTCAGGCAGCTGCAGCCTTTCCAGCGAGTGGACTTGAGGAGGTGGCAGGTGGGGCTCTGGAGATTCTGGAAAGCTGGGGAGCAGGGCCAGCAGGGCATCAAGCAGACATCCCTGTGGCCCTTCCTCGCGCCCTTCCTTGATTCAGTGCCTTACACAAATCTCAGGCAGGAGGCTCATGCCCTCTTCATTTCCTCCCGAGCTCTCCAAGCATCCACAGCCCAGGCTTCTGGAGCTGTATCCATTGTCTGCTTCTTCCTGGGGCTCCCCAGGACAGGGACCTCATCCCTCAGTCATGAGGCCACTGCACCGCTATTCTTGGCAAAACAGGCTGGAGCATAAGAGAGACGTAGTGCCTTTCCCAGCTGCAAGGATGCCCAGTCATGGACTTCAAGCATAGCTGGACCCAGGGAGCCAGCATGGACGTAACCCTCACCCTCAGTTCCTCTTCCCCCTACGCTGGTCCCCTCTGAAGAAGGCACGTCCGCTGTGCATGGAGTCCACCTATGAAGACCTGGATGGTCACTGCATCTTCAAGGCAGGGCAGCTCAAACGGAAGCCGTGCTGGGAGGGCTGTGTGCTCACTCACCTGCCTGTGTCATCACCACAGACAGGAGGGGCCTGAGTGCCCTGGGGACAGGGCAGAGAAAAGTTCTCCCAGGCAACCCTGGACTGTCCGTGCTCCCTCATGTCCTCCTAGGTAGCAGAGAGGCCACCAGGCTCAAACGGGCTCTCATCTTTAGGAGAGAGACGGGATGGACATGTAGGACCTGTGTGTAGGGATATCTTGTTTTAACAAATAAAGCGTACCTGAGACCACAGTGCAGAGCTAAGACACTAGAGGACAAATGGTGGTGGCTCAGTGGCTCACACCTTTAATCCCAGATGAAGGAGGTAGAGACATGAAGGACATGACTGGGCAGAGGGAGGAATGTAGGGCTGGAGGAGACAGCTGCTCAGAAGTTTGGTGTAGACAATTGCAGTCTGGAGATGCAGTCTGAAGCAGTCAGTCAGAGGACACAATCTGAGCATGGGATCGCCCCTTCGGTCTGAGGATTTGGTAGAGGTAAAAGGTCTCTCCAGTGGCTGGCCACATTGCTTCTCTGATCTCTGTTTTTACTCCCTAATATCTGGCTCCAGGTTTCTATGAAAAGCAACTAGAATTCATGCTACACCATTCACGTGCTTTGGTGTGGGGAAGCCCTGGCCAGACACAGACGCAGGGTGAGACAGCCATCCGGGGGCACATTCACATTACATAAGGACACAGGTAAACACACACAAACACACAAGTGTGCACAGAGACAGGGGTCTATTCAGAGTCACACAGGGTATCAGGGTGTCTTCTGAGAGATGAAATTAGCTCTGGAATGGCACACAGTGGCCCAGGAGACACCCAGTGGCCCCAGTAACACATCCCAGGACCTCGGCCTTGGCGGTACTGGTCTTCTGGTCACTGGCAGCAGCAGCTGCTGCGGATTCCAAGGCAGCAGGAGGACTTGTGTGCCCTGGGGCAGTGAGCCAAACTGGCTAATGGGCAAAGAGGGACACGGGGTCCTATCCTGGGCAGAGAGGGACATGGCGTCCTATCCTGGGGTCAGAGGGACATAGGGATCATGTCCTGAGCAGAGAGGGACACAGGGGTCCTGTCCTAGGGTCAGAGGGACACTGGGGTCATGTCCTGGGGTCAGAGGAACACAGGGATCCTGTCCTGGGCAGAGAGGGACATAGAGGTCCTGTCCTGAGGTCAGAGGGACACAGGGGTCCTGTCCTGTGCAGAGAGGGACACGGGGATTATGTCCTGGGGTCAGAGGAACATGGGGATCCTGCCCTGGGGTTAGTGGAACACAAGGGTCCTGTCCTGGGATCAGGGGGACACAGGGTCCCTGTCCTAGGGTGAGAGGGACACAGGGGTCCTGTCCTAGGGTGAGAGGGACACAGGGATCATGTCCTGGGCAGAGAGGGACACAGGGGCCCTGTCCTGGGGTCAGAGGGGCACTGGGATCTTGTCCTGGGCAGGGAGGGACATGAGGTCCTTGGTGGGTATTAGAGAGGCCGCAGGGCCTTAAGGTGGACACCAGGAACTGTTCCCTGTCCTGAAAATCTAGGAGGCCTTTAATCCAGGGCTCTGACCCTCCAGTCATCAGGACACCCAGGCTGGGCTCTGCTCGCTTCTCTTCTGTAGCCGAGGACCAGCCAGCCCCGCCCTCTACACATGGTCACAAACTTCCCATCTTCCTTCCTCTAATATTGTAAGTCATGCCCAGGTTTAGCACAAGGCCACAGGCCGCATGGTAGCTCTCCCTCTTAGCATGTCCCTCCCACCCACAGGAACCGATGTTGACCAGAGTAGCCAGGTGATGAGGGGCAGCGGAACCTCCTCTCCTCAGTCTGCTGCCATCTAAGGCATCCTCATCCAGCACCTGACCCCCAAGGACTAGATGATCCTGTCCCAACTCTGGTGTCAGACACATAGCCACACAGTGACTTAGTACAGAGAAAACCCTGCTTCCAGAGGGCTTCCTGTAGGAAGTGCCTACCACCCCAGGGAAGCAGCCTCCAGACCTGAGTCTCACTGGGCCAGATAGGGCCAGGTCAGTTCCTGGTTTAGGCATCTAGCAGGACCTGGAAATAGAGGAAATGGAGACAGCTCTCTGAGGACTGCAGTTTGACGAGGCTCCACTCTCAACCCTGTCTAGACAGTTGGGCTACGGTGAGGATAGGATGGGTTGATGTGGACACAGGGTGAGGACAGGGCCCAGCACTCGGATCTGTTGATGTGGATGCAGGGTGAGGACAGGGCCCAGCACTCGGATCTGTTGATGTGGACGCAGGGTGGGAACAGGGCCCAGCACTCGGATCTGTTGATGTGGACGCAGGGTGGGGACAGGGCCCAGCACTCGGATCTGTTGATGTGGACGCAGGGTGGGGACAGGGCCCAGCACTCGGATCTGTGAGTCCCTCATCACACAGGCTGGGCCTCCCTCCCTCTCTGTCCAGCAGTCCCAAGTGACAGAGAATAGGAGTGTGAGAAAGGCCTTCCTCACCCAAGGCTCCCCACTCCCTGCCCGTCATCCACAGAGAAACTATGTTGTTATTAAACACAAAGCAAGCAGACCTGCACCCCCGCACTCCCCAAACACCTTTACTGCACTAAAAACAGCATTATAAACAAACACATTGGGGGAGGCTTCTTAAAGAGGCGCACACAGTCAACTGCAAACACAAAGATATCGAACAGTGCAGGGTGTAGAAAACGGGACCCCACGGAGCATAGGGGATGGGAAACAGAATACAGGTGATCCGGGCACCCTTCTGTCCATCACCCCAACTGACCAGCCCAGGTTTTGGTTGTGCCTCAGTTCCAGAGACTGTGGGCACCAGGCACAGGGAAAAGTCAACCCCAAGGTGCCACTAGGCTGTGCCTAAAGGGTCCCTAAAGAATCAGCTCCCATGTTCTCTAGAGGGACTTGGGCTTTTAGAGTTTGAGGATAGCAAAAGAGGAAGGACACCAGGCCCTTCCTAATCCACCAGGGCCCAACAGGCAGTCCATTTAATCCGAGTCATAGTTTGTGCAGAACACAGCAGCCATTCAGGGAGCCAGGATCCTACCCCAGGAGGGCTTCCTGTGCGGGGGGGGGGGGGGGGGGGCGGGGGGGGGGGGGGGGGGGGGGGGGGGGGGGGGGGGGGGGGGGGGGGGGGGGGGGGGGGGGGGGGGGGGGGGGGGGGACACGACCACACAGAACCCAGACCTGTCCCTCCCTCCCACCACCAAAGCCTATTTACACTCTGGAGCAAGCGGCACCCTGGGAAGGAAGGAAGTTTGTAGCCTGTAGAATGGGGAGTCATGGGCTTGAGGCAGAAGCTCCAGGTTACAGGTGCTTCTGGTTGGTCGGCAGGAGTTGAGAGAATCCTGCGCCAAAGAGCCAACAGCGAAGAGACACTGCGACCCTCGGCTCCTAACGCACTTCTAGTCTCCCCAGCTCTAGCCAGAAAGGAACACCAGCCCCAGAATCTGAGAGGCTGGGTCTACCTGGAGCCAGCCTGGTCAGGGAGGATGACCTCCCACAGACGAGGGGTTCTCAGAGCATCTGAGCTGAGTATAGCCACGAGGCTGTGACGGGAAACACCCCCTGTACAGTGAAGGGGGGAAAGAAAGGCCAGCCCCCACACGGGGACCTAATCTCTGGGTACCGGTTGCCTTAGGTACCCAGGATCCTGGGACCGCTAAGAACCCCACAACTCAAGATGAAAGGGCCAAGAGGTATCACGGAGTGGGAAGGGGGAGGGGTGCCGGCCGGCAGAGCAATGCTTTGCGCCTGCAGCCCATCTTCTCCTCCTATGAAAAGAGCAATCCACTAAGAGAGACCCAGGGAAACACAGGGCCGCAGGCCCCGCCCCCACCCACTCCGATGAGCTCAATGTGGAGGGGGAGGAGCCGGTGACCTCACAGAAAGGGCAGCAGCGAGGTCAGTGGCAGTTCCTCCTCCCCCAGGATTGTGTCCCGCTTGAGACTGCTACCCTTATTGACCACCTTGATTCTGAGGGCCAGCTTGCGCACGCTGGCTGGACCCAGGCCGTCAAAGAAGAAGTCCTCGTTGAAGATGGGGTGGCGACTGTTTTTGATGATGGTGCTCCGCTGCTTCTGCAGCTTCCCGGGCACCAGGCACAGCCCCACGCAGCAGTTGATGCTCCGGGCATCACAAGGCCGGTCGTACAGACCCTCAGCCGCCAGCAGGCGCACACGCAGGCGGGCCTGAGCCGCCTCGTATTCCGCCAGCAGCCTCACGCTGCCCCTGGTGCCCATCCGCACTGTGTGCTCTCCACGTGGTGCCTGGCCAGACTCGGGGCCTGGCTCCAGGGTAGCCTTGCGGGTCAAGCGGCGACGGACACCTGGGCTAGTGTCTGGGGTGCTGTCATCGGCAGACAGGGAGCCATGGCGGCCCACCGAGTGTTTCAGCTGGCTCACCTTGGCCTGGCTGTCCTGGGCGAAGCCCTTGAGCAGCGACACAGAGCGAGAGAGCAGAGGGGACCCGAAGGGAGAGGACTCGGCAGAGGACCCCGTGTCACTTTCCCCGCCGCTGAAGTAGCGACTAGGGCTCATCAGGCCCCCCCCAGCCTCCCGGGGTCCCCCATTACCCCCATTGGCCTTGGCACCTGCTCGCCGGCGGCCAGCACCAGGGGAACCCACCTGGGCCAGGGCCCCGTGCTCACTGTGGAAAAGGGACTCCTTGCGTCGGGTGTGGGGGCTCTCAGCCAGTGTGGCAAAGCCATAGGATGTTTGAGCCTTGGGCACAGAGGGCAACGACATGGCACCCTGTGCCTGGGGGTCGGCGTTGGTGGCCTCCTCTGCTGTCCAGTCCTCTGCGCTCTCTATCTGAATCACGTGTCGTGTGGCTGCCTTCAGCAGACTCCTGCTCTCTGAGGCCAACTTGACAGGCAGCCTGGGGCTTCGTGGTGCTCGGCGGGGCCCAGGTGAAGCCAGGTTCTGCTCGGAAGTGGATGGGCCCAGGTCTGCCTGCCCCTCGGCCTCTGGAGGGCCTGAGGGCAGCTTGGGGGGTATGAAGAAGTCGGGGATCTTGTCCGGCGTCAGCACGTTGCTATATAGAGGGCCCTTGGAGGCCTTGTCCCCAGCATCGCCACCCACCCCGCGGCTGGCTCCATTGTCCCCAGACCCCCGAAGCCGTTCCAAGAACCACATGTTGGTTTTTCTCATGAGGACAACAGGCAAGAGACCAGGGAGTCTGAGAAAAGAAATAGGGATCAGAGGTGACAGATGTACTCAAAGGCCACCTGTCAGAGGGTGGGACCTGTTGGGGTTACCAAGAGGTTGGTATTTGTGCCCAGGTGTAAGATGACTGTCAGAACTGTCAGGGGCCGGCACTTTACACGGGGCGGGGGGGTCATCTGCCAGGGCCCCATGGGGTTGCCATCTGGTTCAGTGGTCATCACCTGTCCGGGTCGAGGCCAGCGTAATGCAGGGACACGCTGAGCGCTTGAAGCGCCCTGAGTAGTGTCAGTCTCCCAGGTCGGCTGGCCCCAGCCTGCATTCCGCACACCTACCCACCCACCTGAAGGGCCGGGGTCTCCCCCAGGAACCACAGGCCTGAGCTGTCCCGGCCCCGCCCCCAGCTGCCACCCACCTGTGGCTTCGCTCAGCTGCTGCGCCTTGCTTTGGGTGGAGGGGAGGCGGCGGTCCTGGGTCCCGCGCTGCGAGGTGACCGCGCCCCCGGCTTTCCGGGCGCGGGGTCTGGGCACCTCGGAGCGCGCGGGGCTCCCCTGCCGCTTCGGCGGGGCTTCGGCGACTCCGGAACGCGGGGCTCGGCTGCGGGCCCGGCGCAGCTGCGAGCGAGGCGGCAGAGCAGGGGCCAGCTCTGCGCCCGGCGCGGGAAACCGCCCACCAAGCCGTATTCCTCCGAATGTGGCCGCGCGCCCGCGTCCCCGCAGTCCGGCAGGGGCGGGGCCTCCCGGAACTGGCCGAGGGTGGCGAATCGGGGGCGGGGTTCCTAATATAAATAGGGCGGGGTCTGCACGTAGGACCGGACAGGGAGCGGGGATGGATGACGGGCGGGGCTCCTGGTTAAAATAAGGTGGAGCCTGGAGAAGGGGCGGAGCTGGCAGGAGAGGCAGGACTTTGTTGGTCGGGGCCTGGGGGGGCCGGTAGTATTGGATCAATTGTCTGGCACAAGGAGGGGACGCTGAGATGGTGAGGGGAACCCACTCGTACAGCCAGGGGCGAATCCAGCTGTGTGGGACGGGTCTTGGACTCTGGGCTGAACCTCCTGATACCAACTTGTATCGCCTGTGGTCCTGAGCAGGACCCCACAGCACTGATCTGGGCCTCTGGTTCTAGACTGAGTGGAATACAGACTGGATGGGGAGCTGAGGGGCGGGGTTTGTGGCACCGAACCCAGCTGAGGCAAGCCATACCACTTCTGGTATGGGCACCACCCCTCACCTCTGGGGAGCGTAGTAGTTATGACTAGAGTTGGGAACTGAGTCCCAATCAGCTTCTAAATGACTTTCTCCATCTTGGGTTCTCATGGCCGCTCAGCAGGTAAATGGCAGTGTGGGTGTGTGGCTCTCCATGACACAACCGTAGCAAGCCGATCGTGGTGGCACACACCTTTAATCCCAGCACTCAGGAAGCAGACGCAGGCGGATCTCTGTGAGTGAGGCCAGCCTGGTCTACAGAGTGAGTTACAGGGCTATACAGAGAAACCCTGTCTCAAACCAACAAAACAAAAATAACAAGAACCTGTGGCAGGAAATCTACAGGGGAATGGAAGAAACTGCCATTGGCCATGGCAGATAAAGAGGCCTGGCAAGGTAAAGCCAGGGCTCAAACTACGCTCACCTACTGGGTCACAGTGCCTAGGAGCCAGGCTGCCTTGGTCTGCTCAGCTGGAGCTTGGATCTTGTGGCCATACGCACTTGCTGCCGTGTGTCTCTAAACTCCCTGTCCCTCTGCCACCCCAGTGATTCCACAGGCCACATTTGTTCACAGCTGAGAGTCCCGGAGAGCCTAAGAGATGTTGGCTGGAATTTTTTCTCAAGCTTTCTGCAGGTGATCAAGCATCTTAACGAAGGGCACTGACGACCCTCGCAGCAAAGGACTCCAGCAGCTGGCTCCAACAGCTGAGCCCAGCAGCTGTTCCCTGCACCCTGTTATGTTTGGAAGCTTAGAAATGGAAGCCATGGGGAAAGTTATCTGGAAGTGGGTCTCCACCCCTACCCTATTGGCCCCGGTGAACCCCACCCTGCCGGGAGGGAGCCCAGCCCTTCCAGCTGGCAGATGGCGACCAGGAGCCTCTTGGTCAACAAAGCCGTCTGCCTCTTTCTGAGCAGAACCACTGGCCGAGGCAGATGTGGCCAACCCCCTCCTATCTAGGACTCAGGCTCAGTTCATGCTGGAGAGAGCTCCTAGAGCAGGTGGTATTGATCCAGCTTCTTCCTACAGTCCTGAGTTGTGCCACCTCCTGCTGGGCACAACCTTAGCCCCCAGGGTCAGTGGGAGGGGTCTTTCTCAGAGGTCTGTGTGCTATTTTGCTCCTGTCTGGGCTAAAGAGATGGCTCAGTGCTTAAAAAGAACATTCTCTCATCGAGGATCCAGGTTCAGTTCCTAGTACCCATATGACTCACAGACATACACGAGGGCAAAACGCTCATACACTTAAAACACAAGGCAGTGCTATATACAACGAAGGTGTGGGGCTCAAGATCTGGTGCCAATCTTTGTACCCACACAGCTCTAACAAGAGAAGCCTTGCCTCAGGTCACAGGGGCCTGATGGCTCCTACCCTGCAGCCTGTTCACTTAGACATGAGCGGTGCATGGCAGGCCCACAGGATGCTGGGCCTCCTGTCTCAGAGTAAGGGACCTATGGGCACGCCAGAGAAAGACCCCAGAATTCAAACTCATAACTGTGGCACACTCATCTGAGATCCCTCAAGGCAAGCATTTGCTGAGTAGTTGGTGTGAAGGGTAGGATGGGGGTAGAATCCCCCAGAGACAAGCACCTGAGCTTCCTGGAGAACTGAGCCTGAGTCCTAAACAGGAGGGTTGGCCACAGCTGCCTTCACCCAGGGCTCAGCTTGGTGACAGGAAGATAACGCAGCCTGGCGGCTCGGCCATCGTTGTCACCCCTCACCACGCGTGGGTCTCTGGTGGGTCACTAGCATCCACCTCCTAGCCTGCACCATGAGACCTGAGGTCCCTAAACACGTCCTGAGAGGCACCAGACACGGGACTTGGGGGGGGGGGGGCCTGGACCTTGTAAAAACAGTGTATGAACGGATTCACCAATGACTGAACAAAGCTAGTTGAGACCTCTTTGACCCAGGTTCCAGAATCCAATCCTCAGACATTCCTGTCCTGCCAGAGTGGCTCTTCTCACTGGAAATAAAGTTTAGGACCTCATGCCTCCTCAGTCCTGTGTCCTCCAGCCCTGGGCACCATTCTGTTCCCTGGGCATGCCAGCTCCACACACACAGGCCCTCTCTACATGTTCTCGCTCTGCCTAGAACTCTATGTCCTCCACGTTGGGATCAGCAGCGGTCTGCAACTAAGCCATTCAGATTTCCTGGACTCTAAAACAGTTCTCTCCCTAGGTGTTATCTGTAAAGTACACTTAGGGAGACCTGCTGATCAATGTCTGAGATAGTTTTTCATCCCTGCTGAAGACTGTGGTGGGAAGAATGGATGAGTTGGTATGTGGGTAGATGAGTAAGTGGATAAAAGGGTGGGTGGGTGTGGGCAGGGCTGAAGGTAAAGACATGGATGGATGGGTGGATGGGTGGGTGGATAGATGGGTGGGTGGATGGGTGGATGGATGGATGGATGGATGGATGGGTAGATGGATGGGTGGGTGGATGGATGAATGGATGGGTGGGTGGGTGGATGGATGGATGGGTGGGTGGATGGGTGGATGGATGGGTGGGTGGATAGATCGATGGTGGGTGGATGGGTGGGTGGATGGGTGGATAGATGGGTGGATAGATCGATGGTGGGTGGATGGGTGGATAGATGGGTTGGTAGACGGACAAACTGATGGTTGGATAGGGAGGTAGATGGGTGGATGAATGGATGGGCTGATGAGTGGTGGGTAGATATGTGGCTAGATGGGCATATGAATGGGTGGGTGGAAAGACGAGCGTGTGAATGGGTGTTAGGAGATGGGTGGGTGGGTGGGGATGGGAGGAAGAGAACTCTACCTCTATTGTGTCTCATGTTTGGGGCAGGTGGAGGTTTTTACTCCCGAGCACTCCCAGGCATGTACTCCAGAACACCACAGAGAAGCCCAATCCTTGCCTGTGTCCAGGGTCTGTTCCTTCAGGGGGGGCCCTAGCAGGTGAGCCACAGTGACTCCAAGAAGGGGCTAAGAAAGGAGGAAGAAGCTGGCTTTATCTTGGAATAAAACCGGAGGCTTGTTGAGAGTTGGGGCACGGGGTGGGGTAGGACGCTCCAGCCCCAGGACTCTGCACAGCTTCCTGCTCAGCCTCAGTTTTCCACCCCGGAACCCTGGCAGGTGCAGACAGACGCTGCGGCACATGTTCAACACTGTGTTTAATTACAGCTGAAGGTCCGGGGAGGTGACAGTTGGAAGAGCTGACTGGATACCATACCTCAGTGAGGCTCCTCGGCCTCTAACTCACCTGGATGTCCTACCATTCCAGGCGAGCCCCAAGGCTGCTCCCCCACCAGGGGTTTGAGACTCAAAAGCACCTTGATCCCCCCAAAGGTAACAATGCATCCGGGTCCTCAGAGCCAGTCAGGAAACACACAGAGGTATGCACGTCACTCATAGACACAGCCTGATAACTCTGCCCCACTAGGGACCAAAGGCACAGGGCCTGCCATTGGGGTGTTTGTTAAAGGCGACTCGGTCAGTCTTTGGTTTATACAACCCCTCCCACGTTCAGGGTGGGGGCTCAGGCAGGACCAGGGGTTTGGACCCTAACTCTATCTCATTGGCCCAGCCAGCCGAGCACAGCTGGGGAAAGGCGGCTTCCTGAGGCTCATGCAGAAGGAGAAATGACAGCCATTCTGTTTCTGGTGGTTTCAGGGTCCGAGAAAAGGGCTGTGCCCTCAAAGCCACTGCAAGGGCCTCTGGGGGTAGAAGCTGTCACCTGTGGACAGAAAGAAGTGATGGCAGGGTGTCCATGACAACAGCCACCGCTGTGTTCGCTGAACAGAACAGGCCTCAGTAGCCATGGGCACCCAGCAACCTGGGCCTTGGGGTTCCCCAAGCTGCTGCTGTGTGCCCCAGGGCAGTATCTTAAACTCTCTGTGTAGACCGAGCTGCCAGCCTCACAGCCTGTCTCAGAACTGCGCCGAGAGAACGACAGCTCTGACAGCTGGCACCTCAGTTCCCTGCTTTGAGGCTGGAACAGAACCTGTCTGGGTGACATCACCGGCCCCAGCTTGGTAGGTATCCGAGAGGCCCACAGGGCCTCATCTCACAGAGCAGTTCTGCCTGCAGCCCTGGCCCCCAGGCAGGAGGCCTGAGGGGGACAGGAAGGAGACATTGCCATGGGGATGAAGAACAGCTTGACCTGACCTGCAGCTTCAGGGAAAATCCCACAGTGCCCCTCTTCTTCCCGCCACCCAGCCCCACATCCAGCTGCTACCTCCTGCCCTCCCCTACCACAGCCACCTCCCTCCTCCAGTTCTGCCCAGAGATCCCGAGGGCATCACGTCTTTCCCTCCTTCCCAGTCAGCCCTCCATCCCCTTTACACCAAAATCCGAAGCTAAACCAAACCCACCCTCCACCAGACAGGAAACCTGGGCAAGCAGCACACAGTAGGGCCACCTTAAAGGATGGGTGACTGCTTCTAGGGGCTGGGCCTGCTTTGGAATGATAAGACGTTCCACAGTGAGTTGCGGCAATGACTGCACAACCCAGCGAGTGTACTGAAGCCATCGGTGGTGAACGGAACATTGAAGACAGCAGCTGTAGCTGCTACTACACACCTGGCTCATGGCTCCCGGGAGACCACTCCCCGCAGGTGCAACTCACTCTCGGCAGCCACAATGGGCAACCCGTTCTTCAGGTGGTAGTCTATGAGGTGGCTGATGCTCTCAAACAGCACGTCCTTTGTCCGCACCTGTGGGCAGAAACCTCAGCACCCATCCCTGACGGCATCCCACGTGCCACACTCCCACCAGCTTAGACCTGCTGGGTAAGCACTTGTGGAGCATAGGGCTCCACCCAAGAACCAGCCCCAAGACTCCAGAACCACAGGCCCAGTGTGATAAGGCACACCCATGAGCCTAGCGCTCAGAGAGGCTGAGGCAGGAGGATTTTGAGTTTGAGGACAGCCTCATAGACTCTGTCTCAAAACTAACAATAAAAAGTTGAAAAGCTGAGGAGTTTGGTCAGTAACGTGCCTGCTGCACAGCATGGAGATCTGAATCTGGAGCCCCCAACTCTGTATGAAAACTGTGTGCACCTGCACCTGTGTGCACCTGCACCTGTGTGCACCTGCTACCCCAGTGCTAAGAGAAGATCCAGCCCAAGGTGGGCCCCTTGGAGCCTGCTCACCAGCCAACCTAAATCTCTGAGCTCCAACTTCAGTGAGAGACCATGCCTTAAGAGAAAGAGGGAAACTGTTTGCCCTTAACCCAGCATTCAAGAGGGCAAAGGCTAGCCTGGTCTACAAGCTCCAGGACAACCACTGCTGCACAGTTAGACCCTGCCTCAAGAAAGAGAGGAAGCCCCAAGAGGGAGATGCCATGTGCATGCATACAAGTCAAAGAAGAAGAGACGGAGCCGATGTGTCTGCAAACCAAAGACGGCAGAGATTACCAACCACCCCCAGGCTCCGGCTAAGGGCTGGCACAGAGATCTCCTCAGGACAAGTCCCACCCTCTTTTAGGCTGTATCATCTGTGGTCACGTGCTTCAGAACCCCAGGAAACCAAGACACCCCGAAATCACACAAGGGTCCAGCTAGACTATCAGTTCTCAACCTGTGGGTTGCAACCCTCTGGGGTGGAACGACCCTTTCACAGGGGTCAGATGTCAGATGTCCCGCCTAAACAACACTGGAAAATCGACAGTTATGAAGCCACAATGAATCAGTTGTATGGCTGGGGTCGCACAGCATGAGGAACTGTATTAAAGGGCCACAGCATGAGGAAGGTTGGGAATTACTAATCTAGACAGTAAAATCACTATGGCTTCCGTGGCTGAGAAGGCTCCAAGCCCAATCTTTCCCCAGCAGGAGCCTAGAAAAGGCCTCTAAGTCCCCACGAAGTCAGAAGGACTTCCCCAGCCTGGAGTGCTTCAGAAATGGCTGCTTATGGGTTCTCATGGCACCAGCAAAATCCTTGCGGGAGGAACAGGGAGGAAGAAACCAAGGTCAGTCATGCTGCTGTTCAAGAGGCAGCCTGTGGTTTAGAAAAATAAATAAATAGATGGACTGGAGAGGTGGCTCTGCATTTGAGAGCACTGGCTGCTCCAGCAGAGGACCGGGATTTGAGTCACAGCAGTCACGTGGGCACTCATAACATTCATAACTCCAGTCCTCTGGGATACTCTTCTGGCCTTGGAGGATACTGCACACACACATACTGCACACCACACACGCACACACACACCATATACATACACATACACCCACCCACACACCACACACCATCACCAAACACACCACATATACACACACACCACATACACACATAACACCACACACACACCACATACACACACATAACACCACACACACACACCACATACACACACATAACACCACATACACACACACATAACACCACACACACACACGCGCGCGCAGGCAAAACACCCATAGACATAAAATAATAACAAATATGAAAAAAAAAAAAGAAAAAGGAACAAGAGCCAGGTGTGGTGGCACACACCTTAATCCCAGCACTCCGGGGCAGAGCTCTGAGTTCCAAAGTAGGCTGAAGTCTACAGAGGAAGCGTCAGTCAGACAGGGCTCCACAGTGAGACTGAGCAGGAGCCAGAGCAGCTGATTCCAGCAAGATTGACTGCACTGAGAAGCCGCAACTGCCATCCTGCTTGTGGAACAGCCACCCAGGCTGGGGGCTCGGAGAGGCTGGGGGTCAGAGGTGCTTATGTGAACCCCAAAGTGCTTTTCAAAGTAGAAACCCCTTTAAAGTGTTTTACTATTGTTGTGTTGGGACAAGGTTCTCATGCTGAAGTTCCAGGCTGGCCTGAAACAGCAATCCTCCTGCCTCTGCCCCCCCCCCCCCCCCCCCCCCCCGTGCTGGGATGTCAGGCATGAGTCACACATCTGGATTGTTTTCGATCAATCAGCACTCAAGAGGCAAAGGCAGGTGAATCTCTGTAAATATGAGGCCAACCTGGTCTACAGAATGAGTTCCAGGTCAGCCAGGGCTACACAGAAAATCCGTCTCAGAAGAAAAAAAATTAACTGAAAATGTTTTGTAGTTCTCTAGAAGCTGATGCCAATGAGCTTCGCCACAGTAAGGGAATCCATTATCTAAAGCACCAACTCTGAAGTCGGCCCCTGCCCTCCCTCCTGCCCCAAGTGCCAGCTTACCACACCCTCGGGGTCCACCAGCAGCAGATGTTTGGGCTGCCCTGCGTGCATGCCTGTGAGGACATACTGCCCCGGGTTGGTGATGCTGTCTCTCACAAGGAAGTCCCCATCGGCACGAAGCAGCTTCTCCGCAGCCCGACGGCTCATGCGTCCATGGTACCAGGGCTCCTGCCTCAATTGCTCCTCTGTGGGTGCAATGGGGGCCCTGCGGGTAGGGGGGCTGGGCCACTGGTCCTCCAAAGGGAACGGGGCTGCAGTGATGCCTGTTGCGACTGTGCACTCGTGCAACTTCAGGGCATCCTCAAAGGGTCCTGCGGGTCATTTTTTTTCCTGTTGCTCTCGGGCTTGCAAGGTAGGTGCAATCCAAGGTCACAACCCCAGCCCCTCCTCACTGGGGAATTCTAGGCAGGGCTCCACTCCCTGACCACGCCCCAGCTCCTCATTGGGGATTCTAGGCGGGGCTCCATCCTAACCGCTCCTCAGCCCCTCACTGGGGATTCTAGGCAACGACTTTACCCCTCAGTCAAGTCCCCAGTCCTTGTTTTACTTCTTGAGAGAGTCTCACCAAGTTGTCAAGGCTAGCCTCAAATTCTGTCTTTCTGTCTCATTCTCTTACTTAGCTGGAATGACAGGTACTCAGTTATAAGGCCAGACCTAGAACTTGACCCAACCTGGCGCTAGTTACAGCCTCTACAACCTGTCTGGGGATTGTCAGCAAGGCTTACTGGTTCCACTCACTGCCGAAGCTGTTTTCATAAGAAGCTGAGGCACACAGCACTCCCTTCACTCCAGCCCTCTACCCCCATGGACGTCTCTCGTTGCTGACCATTGGTATGGCCAATGATTGGTAACAGCAAGTGGCCACACATCCCTACTTCTGTGGAGCTGTCACCGCTGAGCCAAGTGACCTCTCCCAGTCTCAGGACCCTCCCGAGAAAAGGGGGCAACAAAAGTTGACACAGATCGGCACCCACATGCCTAATACAGGAGCTTCAGTAGGCCCCACTGACCAACCTACCAAGGGCTACCTGGGAGCCCACCTTCCCATGGAAGTCAGGTAAGCGGCTGTCGCCTCTGCAGGGAGCTCACCCCAACCTGTTTTCCTGCTGAGGGGAGCCAAGAGACATGCTCTGTAACCAGTACCATGCACACAGCAGGCGTCATGTGGGACCTCACACCACAGTCACAATGATGAGCAGGAACACAACCGAGATGTCTTGGGAAATGGCCCTTGCAGTGCCAACCAGAGGACCAAAGTTCGATTCCCAGCACCCATGTAAAAAGCTGGGAACAACAGTGTGTCCCGGTAACTCCAACACAGAGGAAATGGGGCCAGGATGATCCCGGGGGCTCACTGGGCATCCAGTTTAGCCTAGTTAGTAAATCCCAGGCACTAGAGAACAAGGTGGTTAGTCAGCACTGAGCAACGCTAGCCAAGGTTGTCTTCTGGCATCTAAATGCTCACAGACACAAAGAGAAGATGACAGTAATGGGAGGATCACCTGCAAGGATCTGGGGGAGGCTGAGAGAGTCCTCATAGTGCCCAGGGAACATGAGAAACCCTTCTGGGAGGAAATATTAGCAGGGCCATCAGACTGAGTATTTTCCTGGGGTTTCCGAGGAGAGAGCTGGACCAGCTCTCCTACCCCCACGTGAGACCCTGTGTTGAGACTGAGACAGACAGAGAGATCTCCTAGCCAAGTAGGTGGGAACTGACAGTCCCCGCTGACAGGAGGTCGGGGCTCTCCCCTCAGACTGTGAGTCTGTGGGCAGAGGCTGGGATGCCCACAGAAGGGGCTTCAGCCTCACCCAGCAGACTAGCGTAGGCGTGGCACAGAAGTCTGTCCCTAGCTGACTGAGGCTCATAGTCTGGGACCTCTACCCTCTGGATTCCCAAGGACGGCCCCCATGCAATCCCAGGTCAGATGGGGAACAGGCCACGCACGCATGTCAAACAGGTCCTTCTTGGGGCTGTCCTCAGGCAGCAGAGGGGCCTCGAACATGTCCTCAGACTCCATAGTGTCCAGGCCCTGGGTGTTGACGTACAGGTGCTCCTCATAGTCATGTGGCCCTCGAGCATCTGCCTGCACGTAGCCATCCCCAGGTGGGGCTGGAAAGGAGGGAGGGTGGCAGGTGAGATGAAAACCCCGAGGACTTAGAGAGAGGGAGGCAGGAGCGGGCAGGGACGCTACCTGTGTCACCCGACAGGGGCTAAACCGAGGCTCCTCACACGAGTAAAGAGCCACACAGTGTTCCAGCTGGGGACAAAGGCTGGCCACACACGCAAGATTGAGGCAGAGCCCAGTTATGCCACAGCCAGAGGACAGCTCTCTGGCCAAAAGGAGGGTGGGGAGGGACTCCAAGCTCCAAAGAGCTAGATGCTCACACTGACCCTGTTTAGACAGTAATGACCGTGGCTCTCCTGATCCTGCCACTACGTGACCCGCCGCATGGTGGAGCTGTTACCACTCGCTGCTCCTATTCTAAGGCTGGCAAATCCCTCCTCCTCTTTTGTGTGGAGGTTGAAGGTCAGTGTTGGTGTCTTCTCACTCACTACCCATCTTATTGTTTGAGACAAGGTCTCTAAACTAAAATGGTGGAAGGCCAATGAGCCCCCAGGATCCTCTAGTCTCTGTCCCCAGTGTTGGGACTCCAGACAGCGACCACCTCGCTCAGCTTTCACCTGGGAGATAAGGATTAAATCTGAATTTTTGTGCTGTCTTTTGTCTTGTCTTATTTGTATTTACCTGTAAGATGGATCTCAGTCCCCTGAAGGCTGTTCAACTTGCCTGCACCCACGCAGGGGTAGCAGGACACCCTATCCCCTCAGCCTCACCCCTCAGGGTCCCTGGGGGTCATGTCAACCTCATGAACAGCCTGACATTCATTTCTCCCATCTGAGCTCAGCTGAGCAGATTTCTCAGAGTCCAAGGGTGGTTCCAGGCACTTCTCAGAACCCCAGGTAGGTAGTGAGGAACGGATGGTGTCAGCTGTGGCCAAGCCCTCCTCGAGGAGTGTGAACCCTGCCTGCATCAGCATGATACAAGATACCTGGCTCTGCCCTCCAAGAACCCAGATACGGCTGTCACTTAGGCTCTAACACGGGAAGAGTAAGAACTTAATCATGAAATTAGAAGCTGGCAGGATGTATGTTCAAGGCCAGCTGAGGTGCAAAACGAGACCCTGTCTCACGTGGTTCTCTTTTGTCTTCGTTTCTGTCTCAAGGAAAAGCCTCGTTTTCGTGAGCAGGAGCTCAGGGTCATCCTTAGCTATAGAGTAAATTCAAGGCCAGCCTGGGCTACGTGAGAGCCTGACTCCAAAAATCATCATCATGATAATATGGCAGAGAGTGAGAGGGGCTGGCGAGACCTGAGAGCTGTATGAACACTACTGACGGCTCAGGTGGGTGCTGAGGGAGAGCGAGCCAAAGCCACAGCCCAGGTGGGAAGATTAACAAGACACCAGAGAGAAGTCACACTGCCTTGTATGGAGGGGGATTGTATAGTCGTGAAAACGATCAAGAGGTCTGTGGTGTGCAGGGGTGGAAAGACCCCACAAGGATGGACACTTGGACAAGAGCCCAGTGTATCACCTATGAGTGAGCCCCCACTGGAGACACAGGAAGCGCTGGAGTGTACACAGATGATTCTGGAAACCTCCATAGTCATAGACACCCATCATACGATATGATGATGTCATACGCCTGCCTCGTCAGGGTACAGGCAACAGACACAGGCTCACAGGAGAGCAGCGCCCCTGAAGCTCAGAAGTGTACGAAGCTGAGTGTACCCCCAAATGTGTGTGCCTCATTGTGTGAGGTAATAAAGATGGCAGGATGGGGTAGATCAGGAAGCACACAACTGTGGGGCACATTTACACAATAACAGACAGGTTTGTTGGGGATGGGACATTTCAGGGGGACACCAGACACAGTAAGGTTAGCACCACCTACCTGTTCCGGAGGGACCCAAGTCCCATGGCAAGCCCCGGGTATCTCTCCGTGCAGGTGACATTCCCTGCAAGAGAAGCATGGTGACCCTGGCATGTGCCAGGCCCTCTTCGCACTCACCCACCCCAAGGATAGCTCCTGGCCCCTCTGCCCCATAGGGGAGCGGAGACTCACCTGTCCGAGGTCTCCAAGTGTCGCCAGGGCACAGGGCTGTGTGACAGCCAGTCTGGAGTCCACCAGCCCACCCAGGGGTGGTTCCTTCCCTGGAATGCTGTTATAGTAATTGTGGTCCATGGCCTCGTCGTCGTCACCCCAGGCCGACTCCTCCAGCCCTGTCAGCCTGGGGACCCAGAGCAAGGCTAGGACACTTGGTCCTCCCTTCCCAACCCCCACTGCCACCTAACACCCACACCTTCCCCACGTAGCACTGGTGAGACGGGAGGACTGCCACACAAGCCAGCAGCTGTCGGCACTACAGCCTCTGTGGGAAAGCAGCAGGGAGCACCCAGATGTTCGACGTCCCCACCCCCATCTGCTATCGGATGAGGCTCCTCCCTCATGAGGACAAGGAGGCTGGTGCTGAAGATGGAGCAGCCACACAAGGGACTCCGGGCAAAGAGAAGTGATGGAGGAAGGACATTGGTTAATTATAATAAAGAAACTGCCTTGGCCCTCATAGGACAGAAAATTAGGTAGGCGGAGTAGACAGAAGAGAATTCTGGGAGAAAGAAGCCGAGTGAAGGAGTCGCCATGATTCTCCTGCTCCAGACAGACGCAGGTTAAGATCCTCCCTGGTAAGCCAGCTCATGGGCTACACAAAATATTAGAAATGGGTTAGAACAATATGTAAGAGCTAGCCAATAAGAAGCTGGAACTAGCCAGGCCAGGCAGTGTTTGAAAGAATACAGTTTCCGTGTAATTATTTCGGGCATAAGCTAGACATGCGGGCGGCCGGGTGCCGGGGACGCAGCCCTGCTGCTCCTATACTCCAACAGAGAAGGTAAAGGCAGCCAGCCCCTGGGCTCTTTTTACCTTTCGGGGGGCACTATGGCCTTGGGGGGACTGTGCAGGTATTGCTTGAAGCGCAGCTCGAAGGCTTGGCCTACAGTGCTGATGATGCTCTGGGCTAGACCCTCACAGCACTCCAAGATGTGGCAGGCTGTGGAGGGCACATGTCAGCGCACCTGTGACCCCAGCACATCCCTGCCCCCAGCCCAGGCTCCCGAGCTCCGCTCAGCTCACCTCTCTGGTTGATGGGGTCCTTGGCCACATAGGCCACGTAATCAGTCATGTCCTGGAGAGACAGTGGGAGAGATTGGCAGGTTCAGCTCCCTGGAGGTGGGGTCCAGGGAAGGACACAGAGGTCCGCCTGGCCCTTCTTACCGTGTCTCCACCCGAAGCGAAGGAAATGGATTGCATATGATGGTTGGCAATGATCTGTGAGGACAGGAAAGCAGACATGGGCACACGGCCAGCTGGCAGGGGACGGGGACATGGGATGGATGGAGGGATGTCCCTCTGACTGATGTCTACCATTGCTAAGGCCAAAGAGTCCCACCTGGACACCAGCCCCCATGAGGACTAGAACATGGCCTAAAGAGGGTACAGGAAGGCCAGGCCTTGGAGACACACGATTGTGTACCCTCCTGAGTGTAGAAATGGCAGCACCCTCACACACACACACACACACACACACACACACACACACACGCACACACAGACGCCCATCCCAAGCTCTGGTCTCTGAAGATGAACCAGTTCCATGTTCATTCCCATTCATTTACACAACCCCACCCCATCTGTTCCGTCATTCGGTTCCTAAAGTTGTATAGAGATTTGCTTTCCTCAGAATTAAAGCACTCCCTCCTGGAGGGAGGAGGAGAGAGGAAGGAGTGGGGAGGAGAGAGGAGTGGGGATGAGGGGGGGGAGAAGGGGAAGAGGAAGGAGTAGGGAGAAGAGAGGCTCCTAAGACTCAAATAACCAAATTCAGAAGGCTGAAACTGGGGTCTCAGTAGCCACATCTTCCCCAGGAACCAGGGCTCAGGATGAGATGGAACATGCCATGTCCCTCCCATCAAGTGCAGAGCTTGGACATCTGACTGAGGCTTCTGCTCCAGGCTCTGGTCCCCTGCCCGCTGCCTTCATCGCTCCATCCCTAGGCCTGTGTCAGGAGTGGTCTCCCTTCTCCACCATATCAGCAGCATCTGTGGGAGCGTCCATGCTGCGGGTTCCCAGTCTTCGTGTGTGGCAGAGAAGCCCCCACTCACTAACCAGTGGACTCTGGAGCTGGGGAACCTCGGAAGACACCACACCCACCACGCTCCCAACTGGGCCCCAGCCCACAGGCATGTCTCTTTGGTACCACCTGCGTCTGATGGAAGGCCAGCCTTGTCCCATATCTGATGTGAGACACCCTCCTGCATGCAGCATGTGCCCGCGCCAGCACCAGCCAGGAGGGGCAGAGATGGAAGGAATGCTCACTGAGGGGCTACAGCGGGAACCAGTGTTGATAAGACTCAACCTTGCCTGGCTAGCAGATAAAATTCCAGCTCAAGACTTCCTTGGATCTCAGCTCTACCAGGGCAAAATGAGAATTTGTGCCCACAGCTAAGAGGGCCGGGTCTGCCACAGACCTGATGACCTGGTTAGGGTTAGAGTTAAGGTTAGGGGTTGGGGTAGCTCGCAATTAGGGCTAGTGTTAGAAGTACAGTTGAAACCAATCATGGTGACCCAGGCCTTTATCCCAACACAGGCAAGTGGATCTCTGAGTTTGAGGCCAGGCAAGGCTATATGGTGAGATTTTGCCTCAAAACAAAGAAATGGGGTTGGGGTAGAGGTTGAAGCTGGAGTTAAGGTAATCAGAATCAAGAGTTGGGCTTGGGGTTCAGATGGTTACAGTTGGGGTCAAGGTCTTACCACCATGAGCCCCTCGGCAGGGCCTGCCCATTCTGCCTCTCAGATTCTCCTCATTTCAGCCCCCCCATGAGATCTAACCATGGCCCCTCTTGCCAGGACAACTGCTCAGATGGCCCTACACTGCCCCTCAGTTCCTGACAGAGTCCGCAATGCCACTGTCGCCACTCTCAGGACAGACCCCAGGCTCCTCCCCCAGGCTCATGCTGCCTCCTCCGGGGCCAGCCTAGAATCCCTCTCCTCCCACCCCTCTGGGCACTCCAGCCCAGGCACCCTTCTAGACACCTGTGGACATAGCTGCCCTGCACCAAGGGTCCTGGCTACTGGGGACTTTGTGCACACAGCAACCCCCACTTCCTGACTCCACCTCAGTGGACAGCAGATATTTCTGGACATCTTAAAGGTCTTGCAGATTATAGGAGAGGCCTGCTGGGTCGGTGTGGTTGAGGGCTTTGAAGTTGGGTGGAGGGTTTGTGGATGGGTGAAGCAGAGGGCAAGGCCCAGGGGTTGGTTCACCATTGGTGGGGCAAGCGGCGCTGTGGACTGGGTTGAAAGTGAGAGTGGCACCGTGGGAGTGATGGGCAGGCAGGATGTACTCAGGGGCAGGGCTAAGGGTGGGGATTTGGACAGAGCTAGATGCGGGGACTTAATTATAGGACTGAACTGAAAGGTGGTGGCGCACACCTTTGATCCCAGCACTCGGGAGGCAGAGGCAGGCAGAATTCTTGAGCTCGAGACCAGCCTGGTCTACAAAGGGAGTTTCAGGACTGCCAGGGCTACACAGAGAAACCTGTCTGAAAGTATAGGACTGAGAAGAAGGGTGCTGGGCTGTGGGGTGAAGGATGTGGAGGTGTGGTTAGGGGGGCAAATATCAGGACGTGGACAGGGTAGAGATGGCAGGGTTGTAGGCTGGGCAAAGGCAGGGTTGTGGGCAGAGGGCAGTGGCTCCCACCTGGCGGGTAGCAGGAACAGACAGGTTGAGGCCATCCACAGAGATGTTGATGGAGATGCTCATGCCAGCGAAACGCAGGTTGCTCTTCCCCAGGATGGAAGCCAGCGCCTTGTTTGGGGCCTGGGAGGAGGGTACAGTAAGCCACCTGAGTCGGATGCCTGGGACCACAGGGGCTCTGGATGGCCACAGTGTTCCTTCAGTCTCCCAAGACACACACCAGCTCTGCGGGACTACAGGCCACACCCACCTTCTTCTTCCAGGAGCCGTGGACGCCAGGCACGGCCTCATGGAGCCGGTTGATGGCTTCCCTGTAGGATGAGACCAAACTTAGAAACAGCAGGGATGAGAGCCAGGAGAGCAGCCAAGGGAAGCCAGGCGAGATGATCCCTTTGCTCAGGAGGCAGAGCCAGGAAGACAATGAGTTCAAGGCCCGCCTGAGAGGTGTTGCAAGTTAGAGGCTAGGCTGGCCTTCATGAGAATGGGTGGTACAAAATACCAGGGGCAGAAATAGATCGCCAGGCTGATGGGAAGTGAAGGGTCCTAGGTACCCGGTGTCCAGAATGGGTGAAGGCACACACAGCATGGTCCACCCACCCATGGAGAGGAGTGAGGGTCGGACATACACCACAGCGTTGAAGGGATCGTGAGGACACTTTGTGATCGGTGAGACAGGTGGTCTATCACCTAGGGGTAAGCCTCAGAGAACGCCTCTAGAGGACTATCTCGATTGTGTGGAGGTGGGGAGAATGTCCACTGTGGGTGGCACCATCCGCTAGCCAGGGGATCCTGGACCGCGTACAAGTGCACAAAGCAAGGTGCACATAAACATGAGTTTATTAATTCATCTCTCTCTGTTCCTTATATGAGTATGATCCCTCAAGAAGATTTAGCTTTTTATTTATTGTCTTATTACATATTTATTATGATGAGCAGACGATGCACTGGAGGGGCTGAGTAGACCCTGTCTCCCTTGAACGAGCTGAATAGACCCTGTTCTTGTCAGGACTTTGTCACAGTGACACCAAGGGAGACAGAGACATGAGGCCACAGTGGGCTCCATGCTCAGAAATGCCCAGAGACAGGAAGGGGATATGTAGGTGCTGGGTGGGTTAGGAAATGGGATAAATGCTCAGGAGAACAGGGCTTCTTCTTGGGTGTTGGAATGTTCTGGAACTGACTATAAAACACTATGCAGAGATATTTTAAAGCAATGAACTGCAGTTGACAGGGCGGGTTGCTGGGGCAATAAATCCTATCTTTTGTTCTTGTTTGTTTCTTGATACAGTCTCATTCTGTAGCCTAGGCTAGCCTGGTCAGTCCCACTCTGTAGCCAAGGCTAGGCCGGTGATGGCCAACCTCCTGACTCTGTCTTCCTACTGCTGGAACTCCAGGTGTGAGCTCCCACACCTAGCTTTGTGTCTTGGTTTTTAAGTTCACAGCAAATGGAATAAGCAAAGGCCTTCCCGTCACCCTCCTGAAGTCACACCCCAGGGTACAGCAGGCTGAGGGAAAATGGAAGCAGGGGAGTGTCCATGACAGCCATGCACAACAACCAGGGATGGAGCTGAGACGAAAAGGTGAAGCAGGGCTGGTGCTGGGCCCAGTCTACCTGCTGTCAGGGGTGCCCAGCGGGTCACCCCCAACCCACCATGCCACCCTCGAGAGGCCAACTGTGACCCGAGCCCCCAGCCCACTCCAAGGCCTCACCTCGTCACCTGCGTTCGGGTGTTGAAATCCAGAGAGCGCATGGACCGGAGCACCTCAATACAGCCCATGTACTGGGGAGAGAGAGTGGTCAGTCAGCAGGTGAGCCAGCCTAGGAACTGGATCGCTGCTGAGACTTAATTTTCTCTCCAGCTCCCCAGAGCTCTCCTCCCTCCCTGACATCTACAGCCACCGTCCCAGGACTCTGTGCCTGATGTCCTGGATCCACCCTCCCTCACCTACCATTGAGTCCCACCCAGCTCTGAACCCAAAGTTCAATTCAGTGTCCAGGCTCTCAGGCGGGATGGTGGCACGTGCGTTTATCGAGTCCAGTCACCACCCACAGACAAGATCCAGACAGGAACCATCTGGTGGGCACAGATGCGAACATCAGCCAACCACCGTCCACAGTTGGTAGAGCCCTCACCCAGCATGAACTAGGCCCTGGGCGCTGGCCCAAGCACCCTATGAACGCGGTGTGGTGGTGCACACCCGACCACAGTGCACGAGGCAGTGGTCAGGAGTTAAAAGCCATCTTCAGCTAGATAGGGAGTCCGTTCTTTGTTTTGTTTCTCTGCATAGCCCTGGCTGTCACAGAACTAAACTCTACAGACCAGGCTGGCCTCAAACTCAGAGATCCACCTGTCCCTGCCGCCTAAGTGTTGGGATTAAAGATGTGCACCACCACTGCCCAGCTACACAGGAAGCCTGAGGCCAACTTGGGATATAAAGACCAGGTCTCAAAAGAAGAAGAAACTTTGTAGGCCTCTATTTGACAAACATCTCCGTGGAAAGGGACACCTTCCGTGCATCCACCACCTGGCTTCCCCTCTGGAAGTGAAGCCAGCATGGGGGCACTTAGGAGGCTGAAGCAGGAAGATCAGAAGTTTGAGGTTACCCTGAGCTACGTAGGGGAACTATGTCAATGGAAGGGAAGAAATCTAGCGAGAAGAGGAAGTGACCAGAAATTACCGCCACTCCCTTCCAGCCCCATCTTGGCAGCCATAGCATAACCCCCATTCACAGGCTGTGTGGTGGGTTTGTGCATGTAACGTTTCAGGGTACCAGATGCCCTGGAGCTGAAGCTGGGGCTCCTGGGAGCCACCCAGCTGTGGGAACTAGGAAGAAGGGCTCTCAACTCAACCAGGCGGGTCCCCAGCCTGTCGTGATTTAGGCTTTGTTAGTTAATTCTGGAGTCATGCTTGGTGCAGAGGCTAGCCCTGAACCTCTGGGTCTGAGACGTTCTGCAGCTTCCCCACCCCCCGAGTGCTGGACCACCACACCCAGCTTATTTTGTAATTTTGCTGTTTGAAAGGCAGGGGTTCTTGTAGCCCAGGCTGGCCTCAAATTCACTATATAAAGTATGACCTTATACCTCCAGCCTCCACCTTCCAATTGCTGGGATTGCACCCACGTGCCATCATAACCAGCTCTCGATTAAAATAAAATAAAATAGATCAATGTATACACGCTTTCACCTCATGACTCCGATTCTAGAATTTTACCCCACAGCCCATCAGCACTGTGCCATGTTGCAGATGCCCCATGGGTGGGAAGAGACAGCTGAGGCATCCACCATCCCATCCCCCCACTCGTAACTACTGCCTCAGTTTCTCCTACGGGGTCCCAGCCCTGAAGGTACTCCCAGTGGAGGGAGCAGACTGTCCTGCAGACATAGGGGGCAGGGTGATCTGTGCTGGCTGAATTCACTCTCAGCAAATAAACAGCTTTGCAGCCCCAGGAGCTACCCGTGCAGGACACGCGGACATGAGATCTGCCCGTGCTCTCTGGAAGTTTATATTAAGTCGGCTGCCACTGCGTTGGAGAAGCTGAACAAACATGGCACGTGGGAGAAAAATGGCGCACAGTGGTAAAAGTGAGGCAGGTTATTTTTGTGAATTTATATGACATTTCCAAATTCTGCTGCTGGTGGGAAGGGGGAGTCATCATGAGAACATTCGTGTGACTCAACATGAAGGAGCACAGAGGGCATGCTCACACACAGTGCCACCAAGCAGAGGACAGGAAGACACTGACACTCTAAAGTGCAGTAATTCACTCCTCGTAGACCATGTGATTTTTCCAGTATGATATCAGCAAAAGGAACAGGGTTTCAGAAGCACAGGGACATTGGATGCATCCCTAGCAGTTATCTAAGGTGATATGACTGTCCAAGATGCAAGGAGCAACGAAGTGACCTGCATCCCAGCCAGGCTGCTCACATGCAAAAAGGGGTACAAAGAGGGCACTCAGGACCTGCCCAGGAAGGAGACTCTGAGCTCACATCTTCTGGACCACGGGACAATGACCAAGAGAAGGGAGCAGTACGGGAGGACCCAGGCAAATTGAGCAGCATTGCCAGGCCAGAAGTGGGTTAGAGACCAAGTGGAAGAGAGAAGAGGATGAAGGCTGGGAAGCCAAGGCCACAGGACCCTGCCGTGATGTTACAGGGTTCATGCACTCTGAGGTGAAGAGGTACAGGGGAGCTACAAACAGGAATGAGCTGAGGACCTCACCTATGAGATGAATGGATGGTCAGAAGGGGGATGAGAGGGAAGATGGGTGGAGTGGATGGGTGGATGGATGGATGGGTGGGTGGGTGGAGTGGGTGGGTGGGAGGATGTATGGTGGGTGGGTGGATGGATGGTGGGTGGATGGGTGGGTGGGTGGGTGGGTGGATGGATGGTGGGTGGATGGGTGGTGGGTGGATGGGTGGGTGGATGTATGGATCTATAGGTAAATGCTGTGGGGTATGCTCTTTTACACTCTAAAAATTTGTCACTTGTTTTGGTTTAATAAAATGCTGATTGGCCAGTAGTCAGGCAGGAAGTATAGGCAGGGAAACCAGACTAGGAAAATTCTGGGAAAGACAGAGATGCATTCATTATCCAGAAGCAGAGAAAGCAAGATGAGAAAGGGTACCAAACCACATGGCTAAACATAGAAAAAAATTATGAGTGAATCTAAGTCAAAGAGCTATTTAGTAACAAGCCTGAGCAATGGGTCAAACAGTTTATAATCAATATAAGCCTCTGTGTTTAACTGGGACTCAATGGTTGTGGGACTGAATGGGACAGAAACTTCCATCTACTGATAGGTGGATGGGTGGGTGGGTGGGTGGGCAGAGGAATGGGAGGTTAGATAAGTCATGAATGGATGACTGTTGGGTGGGTAAGTGGGTGGGTGAGCAGATGGCCGATGGTGAGTTGTCAGTTCCTGGATAGAGAAGAGTAACAGATAAACAGACAATGTGGACTCCCTATCAGGCGTATCTCACTATGAGTGTATCAGAGAGCATCACCCAGGCCCCCTGCTTTGGAAGGACCCAGTTGCTCCCACATCCCTCATTCCTAACCCATCTCTGCCAGTGTCACTGCCCCAGGGAGGCCAGGGGTGCTGATGGCTCATAAGTAAAGTACTTGCCACACAAGCATGAGGACCTGAGTTCACAACCCCAGCACCCACATAAAAAATGGGGCATCAGGATACACACTGATAACCCCACTGTATACACTGGTGCACTGATAACCCCACTGTATACACTGATGCACCGATAACCCCACTGTATACACTGTATACACTGACGCACTGATAACCCCACTGTATACACTGACGCACTGATAACCCCACTGTATACACTGTATACACTGATAACTACACTGTAGGAGACAGAGAGAGATGCAGAATTTCTGGGACTTGCTTGCTGGCCAACCTCGTCCAATCGGTGAGCTATGGGCCAGTGAGAGTACATACGCATATGTGTACAACACACACACACACACACGTGCACAAACACACTAAGGGGAGGAAGGCTATGCTACACAGGATGGAGTAAGCAACCATCAGCTGCCATGCCTCAGGACACAAATGTACAAGGGTCCCAGTCAGTGTGGTTCTGAAGTCATGTGGCCCTGTTCTGGTGGGTCAGTTGGGAAAAGCATCACAAACGTGGCCCACAGACACCAGGAGAGGAGCTAGCCAAGGACAGTCAAGACCCTGAGGATGAATAGGTCCCCAGAAACAGACTGACAATTCCCACAAGGATAGTGCTTACAATACTTCCATCCACATTCTAGAGGCCAAAGACCAGGACTCAGGTCTGCTAGGGCCTACTTGGGGCCAAGCTGCCTACAGTGGGCCCTTCCTGCCTCTCCCAGGCTTCTGTGTGACCACGGTCCTCTGAGGCCTTTGATTGGCAGCTACGGAGCTCACTCTGCCTGACCTGTCACAGCCTCCTTCCCCATGTCTTCCCGTGGTTTTCTGAGGACAGCAGTGACCAGATGTAGGACCTGGCCTTCCTAGTCCAAGCCCATCCCCACTGCATCTCCCATCTGCAGATATGCTGTGCCCCAAAACAGCTGCATTCTGGGGTATCTGGTGAGCGTGAATCTGGAGGGGCACCTTTACCCAGCTGCTCACAACCTGGGTGCATGACGAAGCTGCTGGGCTAGCCAATGCAAGCTGTTCACCCAGAGTCTCTCTCTTCTGACACACTCCTCCAGGTTTGAGCCGCTGAACCAGGCTGGCAGTGGCCAGGACACTGGCATCTCCACTCCTGGGAAAGACTCAAATGGCTTTCTGCTTCACTGGGTTCTGCAGCTCAGAAAACATCACAGTGTGGTGACACTGGTCCCCAGATGAATCTAGATAGCCAGGGTTTGACCTGAACTCATCTGCAGGTCACTTCAGTCACAGGTTATAGTCACAGGGTCCCAATGTGGGGGGGGGGCGTGACCAGGCTACTGGCCATAGGGATGTATGAGAGAACAGGGTGGGTGCTGGTTAGACAGAGCCTCTTACTGACATTGACAGAGCAACCTTAGGCCCAATTCCATGTGCCTCAGTTTCCCTATCTGTAAATGAAGGTGGTGCATCCTCTCTGAGGAGCAAGAGCCCTGCTCGGATGGACCCTTGTGATCATCCCCGTGTGACTTGGCTGTTCCTTGCTCTGACCTTTCTCATTGTCAATGGGGAGGTCAGACTGGCTCCCCGTGCTCAAATTGATAAGGCTCAACCTGGGCAGCAGGTGGACGCCTCAGCTGCTTCGCCCTGCACGCCTTTCTGTCCTGTCCATTTCTAACATGGACACCATTCTGCATAACCCACAGTCACCCAGATCCACATCACTGTCAGCTCTCCCCACACCTTCCAGGTCCCCCTTCAATCCCTGTACCCCTCTGTGCCCCGTGATACTGTTCTGACAATACCCTGAAATGATCCTTTGGAAACCCCAGGCTCCATCTTATCAAGGTCTTCCACTGCAATCGGAGACCACTCTTTTGTTCCAGGCACCTAGACCCAAACAATCACACAAAAACATATTACAACACTCTCTGACCTATTAGCTCAGGCTTCTTATTTACTAACTCTTACATCTTAAATTAACCCATTTCTGTTCATCTGTGTATCGCCACGAGGCTGTGGCTTACAGGGTAAAGTTCTGTCCTGGTGTCTCCTCTGACTCCATCTCCTCTCTCTTCCAGCCTGGCTCTATTCTGCTAAGTCATTGGCCAAAACAGCTTTATTTATCAACCAATAAAGGCAACACATACACATCATTCCATTGTTCCTAGAAAATTCCAGATCTGCCTCCTGCACAGAGCCTTTGCGCTGGCTGTGTCCTGCCAGAAATGTCTCCTGTGTTGTTTTCTGCCGGAGGTTTCCACAAGTTCAAGTCTCAGCACTTGAGACATGTGTTCCAAAGCACTGTGACCAGAGAAGCTACAACTCCCATGGACGTCACACAGTTTTACCACCCCCGCCCCATCAGGACCTTCAGTCTTCCCATGGGCAGTCTTCTTGTGTATTTATTATCTACTTCTCCTGTGCAATCAAAGACCTGGCAGATGGAGATCAGAGATTTCCCTTGTCCTCCGCAATGTCACTACTCCATAAGGGCTGATCTAAATACCACACTGCTTTCACCCCAACATTTGGAGCCCCAACAATGACAGTATGTGAACTCTCAACATGTATCCACCAGGGCTGGAGAGATGGCTCAGAGCATTGCCTGCTCTTCCAAAGGTCCTGAGTTCAATTCCCAGCAACCACATGGTAGCTCACAACCATCTGTAATGGGGTCTGGTGCCCTCTTCTGGCCTTCAGGCATATACACAGACAGAATATTGTATACATAATAAATAAATATTTTTTTAAAAATGTATCCACCAGACAGGACAGGCTGGAGGAACTGGGTGAGAGGTAGCTGAAGGCAGCATTGGTGGGACGCTTTCTCACAGTGACACCAGAATAGATGAACATCAAACCATGTGGACACAGGAGAGAGGAGACTGCGGGGAGGGACCCAGTGCCACAGCTGGCAGCAGACACACACCCAGAGGACTCGGTGTCAAGGCCAAAGGGCAGGAGGGTTATCACTTAGTATGGCTGGAGATGGACAGAACACAAGGGGAGCGCATTAGCACTCCATCTGAAGGCTGGTCTGTGCAGATGGCATCTGGGGGTCCAGGAATCTCCACTGGCCCTTGGGTTGAGACTTAGCATTTGTTCTAGCCTCAAACTCCTCTCTAAACTGTTCAGTTGTCTTATAACAGGGTCTCGAATAGCCTAGGCTAGCCTCAAACTCACCATTCAGGCAAGGATAACCTTGAATTCCTGCTCCCACTGCCCCCACTTTCCAAGTACTAGAATGACAGGTGTGAGCCACCTTGTGTCTTGGCTTGACTTTGTGTCTCAGTCAGTGCCTGAGGACCCACCCTGCTCCGGGGAAACCTCCCCTGGATCCACAACACCTACAACAAACATACTTTCTTCTTTGAGTCTTTCTGTGTGCTTAAGCATTTTGAGACAGAACTGGAACTCACTATGTAGACCAGGCTGGCCTTGAACTCACAGCTTCCCCAGTGCAGGGATTAAAGGTATACACCACCATGCCCACCTTCTTTTTCTTTGGCTGTGTAGCCCAGGCTGGCCTACAACCTTCAGCAATCCTCCTGCTGCAGCTTCCTGAATGTTGGGATTACAGGTGTGCCCCACCAGTCACAGCTGAAGTCACCTCTAAAACAGGTCCTACTTGCAGATCCCCAAGGCATAAATATTGGAGGACTCAACCCAGTTCACACAGAAGGAAGTGACACTGTGGATCACGGTGGGGAAAACAGGACACCCGCTTAGCATCCTGGTCCAGGACAGCCAATAAACGGCATTCTGGGATCATTTGTCATCTCATAAACTGTGGTGAGCATGACACCGGACTAGGGTGCCTATAGTGAGCGTCACACACCAGCCTACTTTCAAGTGGTTGATAAAACTGCACACACAGGAGTTGAGGCTTAGAGTGAAGATAAAAGGTCCGTGGTGACAGGTGGGCACGTGGGAGACCATCCCCCACATCTCATCCCTTGCAAAGGTCACAATAAAAACCTGGCGGAGGTGCGACTGGGGCTGGCGCTCAGTGTATACAGACCTCGCCTGGCATAAAGAAGACTCTGAGTTCCATCCCCAGCCCCATACAGATGGAGATGGGGCGTGGGGGTGCGTGACTGTCACCACAACATTTGCCAAGTAGAAGCAAGGGGCTACATAGTGACTTCCGTGTCAGCCCGAGCTACAAGAGACCCTGTTTCAAAAACAAAACAAAGACTAAAGCTCCGGGAGTGGTGACAGACATGCAACATCCCAATATTAGTGAAGCTGATGAGGCCGGCTGGTAGCTGGCAGTCGGAGCTCGAAATCCCCTCCTCAAATCCCTATTTCCTCCCACCCCTGCAAAAATAGAAGGGATAAACAGCCAGGTCCATTAGCTTCATTAGTAGAACCCCGAGCACCGAGCTTAGTTTCCATGCTCCATCCAAAGTCTTTGCGTGTCCCCACTACATCGCTGCAAAGTCGCTTTCCCTGAGACTCCGAGAGTGAGAGGGTACTCCGTTCTCTCCCTGGTCCTCACCTAAGGACTCTTTCACCCAACAGCAAAGGGGGGGATAGCCTGCGCATGCGTGCGTTTCCTCCCCACCTGCGCCCTCTCCCCGCCCCTCCCCACGTGATGCCGTGGGAACCCGGACCCCAGAGCCTGCGGGTGGGGGCGGCCAAGAAGCGCGCACCGGAGACGGGGTTCCATGGTAGTGGGGAAGAGCTCACTTGGCTCTTTTTGAGATACGGGACCAAAGTGGAGGGGTCCCCGAACCCGACGTGCCGGGAAGGAGGCTGGGCGCACTCACCCGCACGATGTAAGAGACCCCGGGCCCCAGGACCCTGGCGTCGGGGTGCAGCCAGCCGTGAGCTGGCTTGTGGATGAAGCCGCCCTTGCGCGCCCACTCATCGGCGACGTCTGGGGTCCCCCGTGCGCACCGCGTTCCCGAACCCCGGCAGCGGCCGAGCGCGGGCAGCGGGCAGGGCGCGGCGCAGCGCGGTTCGCAGGCGCCCAGCACGGCGGTCAGCGCGGGGACCCCTGGCTCGGGCTGCGCCTCAGCCGTCCCCGCCGCGCGCGCCGCCGCCGGACCGCGACCCAGGAAGCCGCCGGGTGCCGCAAACTTCCACTGCGGCATGCGCGGCAACAGCGCGCAGAAGGTGGTGGGCGCCTCGGGCTCGGGGGCCGCGCGGCCACCCGGACCCTGAGTCATGGCCGCGGCCGCCGAGGAGCCCCGGCTGAGCCTGGCACGGAGCCGCGCGCTCCTCCCCGCCTGGTGATGTCACCGCTTCGCGCAGCGCGCAGCCGCGGGGGGCTGCGCTCCTAGGACCCCAGCCCTTCGCTGGCGGCACCCATTCGACCCCGCACGGCCTGCCGGGGCTCCCAGAGGGGCTGTCCACTCACACGCTCTGACCGGTGGGGAAACTGAGACTAGTGTCTGCAGATGGGAGGCGGGGCGCGATCCTCCAACCTCGAAGTGCCCCTTCGACCCCCGCTCCAGCACCATTCTACCCTTCGTCTGAATGGAGAAACTGAGGCCTGGGGTCGCGGGTGCAGGGCGTCATCCATCCTCCAACCCCGAGGTGCCCGTCACCACCGTTCCAACAACATTATGCTTTTCTTCTAAGTTGGGAAACTGAGGCCTGGCTTTGTAGAGGCATCCTCCTCCCTTCCCTAAGTGACCCCTAAGCCACTGTTCCAGCCGGACTGTGCTTTCTTTCCTGAGTAGGGAAACTGAAGCCAGAGCAGTGGGAAAACTAAGGACTAGGGTAGGGAGAAGATAGCAGAGGCAGGATGTGAGGGTTTCAGTCGCCGACACTTCCAGCCATATCCCGACTAACTACTTCAAAATAGGGCATGGGCCAGCGCGGAGGCTGGGGTCCAGGACTCGAGAACCTCCAACTCAGAGGCGTCCCCTTCCCCTGTTTTGCTATTTAGTGGGTAAATTGAAGCCTGGGGCGGGGACAATGTTTAAAGGGAAACTGACGGCTGGAGGTGAATCAAGTGCCCCGGACAGCGCAGCCGCAGGCGGGGCTGTGGCTGGAAGGGTCTGAGAGTAAACACAGACCGCCTCTGCGGACTCCTGGCCTGTTGCCACGGCTGTAAGCCAAGGACTCCCGTTGGTTCTTGGGGTTATTAGAACCCGAATATCAGAACTCTCAGGCCCGCCACCAGTCTCACCCCAGGCTCAAGGGACCTCTGAGATGCCTCCCTCAGACCCCAAGAGGATTCCTTCTGTGAGGGAAAGGGGTTGGCATCACCACCCTATCTCTGTCTCCCCCACCCACCCACCCACACTCCCAGGACAGTCCTGCCGGGAAACAAAGGGAAGAGGGCTGGGCGGGGCAGGGTGTGGAGGAGGGGCAAGGCCAGCCAGATCGATGAGGAGAGAAACTAGATCACTGCGTGCGCCTGCGAAGGGGGCTGGCGTGCGCACGCTCGCGCCCGCCCGGACGCTTAGCAACATCAACAAAGACACACCACTGAGCCCTTGGTGCTCTCGGCTGGAGGAAGACTGTGGCTGGGCTGAGGTCTGCGAAAGGAGGCTATGGGATCTGGCTGTGTCGAGTGTAGATCTCGGCATTCCGGGTCTGGGTGCCATCCATCCTGTGTTCTCTCCATTGTAGAGAGGGTTGGTTCTACTCTTTAACCTGCTGTACGACAGTAAATCATACTACAATAGTTTAAACTCCTACACACCCTTCAAAGCCCAGCTTCACAGAACCCCTCCCCAAGAACCTAGCAGGTCCCACAATCCAAATCCAGGCTCTAACTCTAGCCTCCTGGTGTCAAGGTCTCCCATTTGCCCCATCTGGACCGGAAGAGGTTTGTAGAGTTGTGGATCTGGAAGGCAATGTTTCTGTTCTTTTGTGGCCAAAAGTAAACCAAAGTGCAAGCCGGGTGGCGCATGCCTTTAATCTCAGCACTCGGGAAGCAGAGACAGACTGAGTTTGAGCCCAGTCTAGTCCAGGAGAGCTAGGTCCAGGACAGGCTCCAAAGCTACAGAGAAACTCTGTCTCAAATAAATAAATAAATAAACAAACAAACAAACCAATGTGCACAATGCTGACAACTGTTGGAGGAACAATTTATTGGCAAGCAACTCTAGAGGGTGGGATAGGTAGGGCAGAGGTATCAGGATCACCTCCAGGAGAATTCTCCTGCCTCATCTGTAGAAACCCAAGTGGCCTAGATGCTGAATTCTAGGACACAGCCCCTTGTCCTGCCAAGGGAAGGGATACTTCTCCCTGGCCTGGCTTGACCTAGGAAAAGAAACTGGGGCCCTGGAAGAGGACTCACCCTGACCCCGGATGGGGCCTTGGGTCACTGGCCCCAGGGACAGAAAGATCAAGTGGCCCCTAAGGACCTCAGACTGCCGGAAGGGTGGCATCTCCTCTGCCCAGGGAAACTGTACCCAGCAGCCATCAGCATTTGGTGTCCCCTGCCACTGAAGATACCCGCTTTGAGTGACGGATTCCCATGGAGTATGCCGGGGCCCGGGCCCGGTTCACGGTGACCTGCTCTGGGTTGTGAGTACCAGGACCAGGTGTCTCCTCCAGGAGCCGAGGGGCTCGGGGTCTCCCCAGTATGCTGAAGGCCGGCCTACGCTGTCGGTAGGTGTTGGGGTCAGGAGTCTCATACTGCCCAGGGCCTGGAATCTCTGAGGGATCCTGAGCGGGGCGTGCTGGGGGCCTGCGGCCCACAACTGTGAAGCTGGGGCTGCTAGGTTTGATAAAGATCTGCGATCCCCAGAGGGGTGGCATGCTGTAGGCATTGGGGGCAGGAAAAGAGGCGTCTGGGGGCTTCTGTCGGAGGCGGGAGCCCAGAGTGAAAGCTGGGGGGTTCCGCTGGCGAACCGGGGGAGCCTTCTCTGGGCTGTAGGCCCCAGGGCCTGGTGTCACCTCCAGACCTGGGGAGTGAAGGAGCATTCGCACAAGATGGAGGCCTCACCGGACCTGCATCAGACATCACGAAGACCCAGAGTCTAGCCCAAGCAAATTCTTCACACATGCATTCTGTGCCTGATACTCCTGGTTGGAGCCAGCAGAGGCTCCCACTTCCACCCCAGAGTCCAGACATCAGCCTCCTGCTTCCCACGCCCACCAGCTGGTACCTTCGACCCCTCCAAGGCCCCATGATCACCCGGATTGTCCTCCTTGAAGATCTGGGCATCCTGAGATAGAGCTCTAGGTGGCCTGAGTCTACCAGGAAGTTCACTAAAGATGTCTCAGCATTAGTGTGACTAAAGAGCTGGGGCGGGGCCGTGAGTGAAGGCTGAGCAGAGCCATGGAGCACAGGGAGATGGATGAGTGGGTAGGCAGGAAGATGGGATGGGCAGAAGAGTGGGTGGATGGGTGGGTGGGTGGGTGGATGGATGGATGGGTGGATGGGTGGGTGGATGGATGGATGGGTGGATGGATGGATGGATGGATGGATGGATGGATGGGCAGGTGGATGGATGGGTGGATGGATGGATGGATGGATGGATGGATGGATGGATGGATGGATAGGTGGATGGATGGATGGATGGATGGATGGATGGATGGATGGGCAGGTGGATGGATGGATGGATAGATGGATGGATGGATGGATGGATGGATGGATGGACGGGTGGATAGGTGGGTGGGTGGATGGGTGGGTGGGTGGGTGCGTTGGTGGAGGGTGGTTGGATGGATGCATAGGTGGGTATATGAATGACTGGGTAGATGCATGGATGGACTGATAACATGCAGAGAATAAAATCAAGTGTTTGAGCATTCCTCTGGGACCATGAAGGGGCTTTAAAAAAGGGCCCCTAGGCAGCAGGGTCACCATGTGTTGTTCACCCCAGCTCAAGGCTGCGGGACTGGAGTAGTGAGCCTTCCTGAAACTCAGATTGTATCGCTGTGAACACTCAAGTTTAGAGCTCCAATCGTGCAGGAAGAGGACAGCCTCCCAGACTGTAAAAGGCCACTTCCCACCACACACATTGTACTCACCTCGAATCTTGCCCCGGCCCTGCATGGAGTAGGCAGGGGGACAGCTACGGCCAAAGCGAGTAACTCTGGGGTCCAAGAAATACACGGGTCCTGGGCTGGAATCCTGAAGTGGTGCTGGGGAAAGGACCCGAAAGCGCAAAGGTGCCGTGAGCTCCGGGCTCCCCACACCTGGCCCAGAGCCGCCCAAGAGCCTACCTGGGAAGGACTGACTCTCCTGAAAGGGGTCAAGCAGTGGGACTGTGTGGGGCACGCCAATCCCAGCTGGGCCTTGGCTCACGCTGAGTCACCTGGAGTCACCCTTGAGATGGCTCAGCTTGCCTGACCCACATTTTCACATCAGTGTAGAAGGAAGAGATCACAAAGGCTACAGTTGGTACCATTTTCACAGTTGTATATGGAACCTAGGCAGTCATAAATGGTAGTCTTGAGCTTCCCCCTCAGCCACACCTGTGGATTCTAGGCTGGGCTCCACCCTGACCACGCCCCCAGTTTCTCACTGGGGGGATTCTAGGCGGGGCTCCACTCTGACCACGCCCCCAGCTCCTCACTGGGAGATTCTAGGCAGGGGCTTCATCCTTTTTCCCTTAAACACTTGATCCTCCTGCCTCAGTTTTTGAGTTGTCAAAAACGACAGATCTGTAGCATCATGCTTGGCCTGGTCACTGGTTGCTGGACTTTAGACACTCCATGCTGGGCCCGCAGGTGAGGGCTAAGCTTCACCAAGTCTTTCTCAAAGCCTCAGTGAGTCCCAGGATGTGCGTAGGTACCACGCAGTTGTGGGCTTCTGTGCACGCCCACACCGGCAGTGTTTGCACACACACAGTCTCCCTACTAACCCTATGGTGGTCACTAATGTTAAAGAATGGGCTCAGAAGCACCCTACGCCTGTGCGCCTAACAGCTCTTCCCTAGCTTAGAGCTAATCTAAATGACTCCCAGGATAGGAGGAATGGGGTTGCAGTCACCGATATGTGCTGGGCCACACACAGGAAGATGCCTGTCCCTCGTCACCTCAGCCAGCCTGTGGCAAGCAGAACTGTTGGTGCTCAGCCCCTGCTCGGCCCGCGCAAACCTGCTTTCCATCTCCTATGCAGTTTGTGTAATGAGAGAACCCAGCTCGCCAGCCAGGACACGTCTCTCCCGACCTGCAGGCTGCAGCGGGTGGGCTTTTCTCCTGGGTCCCCCTTCACCAAACTTTCTCTTTTTTCGGGGGGGGGGTGTCCTAGAACTCGATCTGTAGACCAGGTGGCCTCAGGCTCACAGAGATCCACCTGCGTGTGCCACCACACCCAATTAAGAGTTCATTTTTCAGTTAAACGCTGTGTACTTGTCGGGGAGGATTTGTGCTCTGTGGGTGCGGGGCCC